CTGTGTGAAGAGAGTTGTCCTTTGAGATGGCATTGACAGGGCCAGCCAGCAGCAGTCAGCAAAGAGCAGGTGTCATCCCTACTTGTTTGGTGTGAATATTGCAGTGCTTCTGTTGACAAACACAAGTTTCTCCTCCCACTGTTTTTTTCCTGGCCAGTTGAAAGTAAGAATATTTGAATGGGAACAAATTGGGTTTACCCACAGAGGTTTGAGTCTTGTGATAATTCTGCTTTCCCCTCAAATTTAAACTCTGTTACCTTTGTACCCAGTCTTTCCTGGGGCTTCCTGGTTATCCCTGTGGTGCAGACCTCCCTAACAAGGTTCCCCTTAGGTGGTTCACCTCTAGAGCTGTGTCAGCAGCTCTCTGGGCAGAAGGAGCTGTACTGACAAGGATGACTTCTTGTTGGCATGCATTCTGGCACAGGGCTCTTCAAGGGAAAAAACAATTCAGGATGCCATAGCTGTGCCAGCAGCTCTTACTACAAGTCAGACCTTGGTCATTGCAGAACAGAAAATACTGAGTCATGCTCTCAGTGACCTTGGTGTCTGTGAGAGTTGCTCACGTTTTAATAACCTTTGATTAGCCCTTGTTCTAGTGTCTGTCCCAAATCATCCACATAAAGAAGATTTTCAGGAGGCTTTAAAGCATAAGTAGCTGTAGATTTACCTAAAGGAATGTTTGTTACCTTCTGTTCTGTGAGGGCTTCCTCATCCATCCAGGGTGAGATCTTGTGCACGGCTGGTATCTCCACGGTGCAGGCCTGCCACGTGTTCTTCCTGCTCTTGGCATGCATAGGGCAGCAGTGTGAATTTCCTGGATGTTTTTGGAAACACTACTGGATCAACCCAGTTTTCCCCCCCCCCCCCCAAAACCTTACTTCTACACAAGACATACTGGAGAGATGAGCTGAGTCCTGTCCTTTCAACAAGGAGCTGCTTTTCCAGAAGTTTCTCTGCGCATGAAAGTTCATAATTCTTGTGCACCATCATCTGATTAGTGAAGCTGACCCATTTTCAAGGATGTTCATAGGGAAGAGCTAAGTTCTGCACTGACGTGCTTGGGGTGGGTGTGTTTCAGTGTCTGTGTATGGGCAACACACGTCAAAACACTCAGAGTTACTGCCAAGGAACTTCTCTTTTTGGTTAGGCAGTAAGAACTCACGGAATCAGTGGCTTTGAAGCATTGCATGCCACAGATCTGAGTGCACTTTCTAACGTGTGAAGATTCCAAGATGTTTTAAGGTTTTATTCAACAGAATATTTCCCCTCTTTTCCTGGAAGCAAATGTGAAATCAGTCCTCATTGTCACGTTGTCATTCTGTCTGTCTAAAAAGACGTGGTGAATCTCAGTCAGGTCTTCTCAAGCTTCCAGATCTGGGCTGTGGGCTGAAGGAGAGCCCATAAATCCAGGGCATACATCTGCCTTTACCCTGACATAGCAGTGTCTGTTCTATTTCTCACAGCCTTGGGTTTCTGATGAGAATATTGAATGATGTGGGTAAATACCAGAAACACAATTTTGTCATTTCAGCCTTGGAACAGAGTAGAGCAGGCTGATTTGTATGTGCCAATATGAATCAATTGCAATTAAGTTTTTCATTACAAGTCTATGCTCTGCTTACCTGATGTCTCATCACAAGTTTTTTTTAGGAGAAATCCCAGCTTTGTTGAAGTCTCAGGGAATTTTGCCCTTGCCTTTTCCAAGGAGCCTAGGGCTTGACTTGGTGCGTTAAAGTCTGTGTTAAAGGCTTCCTTGGGAAGAAACCTTCTCAAGTTGAGTCATTGCAGCGTGTCTCTGAGTCAGCGATGACTGTCACAGCTGCTCAGTACTGTGTGTGTTCATAACTTGCAGTTTTGGGGAGTAGAAGTGCATGATGTCTGTTTTCAGAAAGCTGTGTTGGTCGTTCCTTTCCAACCTTTTTGGTGTTGTTCTGTCTGTCCGTAGAACTCATGTGTTTCACTCTTCAAACTTATGTTCATTTTATCCTTCATTTTTGTTTTTTTTTTTGTTTTTTTTAGGACCCAATGTTGTCTTCCAGTGTGAAAGCACCCCAGAGACCCACTATCCGAGTTTGACTGTAGCGTGGAGGCAGGGTGGCCAGCCCTGCTCACGTATCTCTGAAACAATCCTTTTGCTTCGCTTGAATGCTAGATCCAGTCAAGAAATTAGGTTATCCTGGGTTTTCTTATCTACACTTACCGTTGATTTGTAAAAGAAAGGATAGTGGGTCTTTGTGTGGCTTTCACTGCTGCTCATTCTCGTTTCCTTTAGCATTTTTCCTTGGCGTTGATAATCCTTGATCATTAGCATGCACATCCAGTGATCGTTTGCATGGTGGGATTGCAGGCACACAAAGACCCACTATTTGCACAGTTTATCTGCGCTGTTTTGAATGGGGAGTTGTGTTCTTTTGATGTTGTAATGTACATACTTTGCAGAATTAAAATGTTTGCTGATTGCTGTTTTAATTTACTTGATTTAATCTCCTACGTATTGAGCTTTGAAAATTGACAGCCTGCAGGGCTCATCCAGAAAACAAGCCCTCCCTGTTTCAGCTGCTGGTGGTCACTGTGATTACAAATATACTGCACGATCCAAGGTTGAGGTCTGTTGGGTCTGGGGCAGTCGTGCCTCTAAGTAACCTTTTTATCAAGGAAAGAGATATTAAGCATAGAATGGAAGATATGTATTTGTTTTCTTCTCTCACAGTAGCTCTATGGCAGGAATTCAGGTTGTTTTGGCTCGATATGCCCTATCCCTAACCAATGTCCTTTGAGTATTTTATTCTAACAGCTCACTGATGCTTTCAGTTTTGGCCAACAGCAAATTGTGGTGGTTAGTAAGTACTTAAACAGCCTCTGTGCTATCAGCCCCCTCCCTGCCTAACGCACGGGCAGCCCTGGCAAAGAGGTGCTGGTAGAAAAGGAACACTAAAAGACACCTGGAGCTGAAGGCAGAGAATCTGGGTTTAAGGCAGAGGGCCCAGTTACACTATGCTACTGCTGTTGGTGTGAGAAGGGAGGGAGCAGAACAAGAGGGCTGTAACCTTGATGCCCCTCTGGATGAAAGGAGTCAGCAGCAGCAGGCTGCTTGTCTGAGGAATTAGTAGTGTGATCCCGTAGGAGCGGGACAGATGAAATTATTTAATGAATCTATTTAATTTAGTTGGTTTCTGAACTCGGTAACGAAACAGCAAAGGTTACTTATGCAATCAGAAATGTTTACAACCCGCCCTGTGTTTACTACACATCTGTGAATGTTGTGAAGGTACGATCAGGAAAAGGTTGGTCAAACTGCAGAGATGTAACAGCCTTTCTCCAGCACCTCTATAGAAAGAGTGGAATGTAATGTATTTAATATGCTTTATCCAATAGTGTATATGTGCCCTTTAGGTCAGAGGTATCTCTTGTGCAATATTGACCACAGCATTGTGCCTACAGAAAACTACAAATGGATTTTTACTCTGGATGTATTTTGTCTCAACCAGTATTTTGCTATGGAATGAGATCATGTTGCTGTAGGCAGATGATGCGCTCAGTAATTTCTCCAGTGTTCTGCCTGACTTGATTTCTTTTTGAAGCTACGTTTTTCAGTATTTCTGCTAAAAGATGCTGAATGGTATCAAGCAGTCCTTCCCTATGGTTTAATAATCAGGTGATCTTACAAATTGCCCCATGTCTGCAAGGCACTGCTCGCCTGTGGGATCGGAGCTCAGCTGACTTCCCGACATTCAGTGATTTCCTTGAGTGCCAAACTGCTGCTAATTCGGGGGGGAATAAAAGGAAAACAACTTTACATCCCATCTGGAATGATGCAGGAAAAATAGCATTATGGCATTGGGCAAAAGTAGCTGGCCTTGCACCCGTTCTTGAGTGGTACAGCTGGGGTGTATGAGGACCATCTCACACAAGCAGCCCTACATTTGGGTATGTAGGTGATGATGACCATTGAAACAGCTGCCCCTCCACTTAAACTGATGAGTATTGTGATGAAGCACTGGAGGTTTTCACAGCTTCTCCTGATGTTTCGGTATTACCTGAGTACACGCCAGATCTTCTAATTAATAATAATGATAATGATTTACTAATGCTGATTGGAAAAACCTCAGCCCCTGCCCTTGTGCACATGAGGCACAGTCACCTGAGAGCTCTCTCCGTTCTCCTGTCATGTGCTGGAGCAGAAAGAGCTGTACGAATATATCAGGTTATCATTAAGAAAGGCTGTGCCAATGATGTATTAAAGGCCAGATTTTAAAACAAGGTGTAGCTATAGAAACTGTACTGATCTGGGGGAAGAACGTTGGTTTTGGAGGTGAGGACAGGGTGAAAACAAGGGATACCTGCTGAACTGCCGATCCCCTCTTTGGCCCTGAGAGCCCAAATGCTTCTCAGAGCAACAAGGCATTAACAGTTAAATCTGAAGCCATCCAAGAGAGCAAAAGGTGGCATTGCCTATAGTGCAGCACTTGCTTAGTACTGTTTTCTGTGAAAATGGGGGCTGTTGTGTAACTGGGTGTCCTACAGCCAATATTTATTCCATCCCAGTGCTTTGTCAGATTGTATCCCTGTGTGATGTTTCTGAGTGGGGTTCACCACCTGTGCATAGATCTGCTCGTAAGAACGCTGGCAAACTGTGCCCTGCAGTGACATTGGGAGCTGCTGTGGGGCAACGCTGCTTCCATGTAATGAACCAATAAACTGCTGCTGAATGGTGTGTGCTGCCTTAAAATATCTTCTGTTGTTCTCTTGGAGCTGGGGTATTAACGTGTGAGGATGACTGTTCAGACATGCAAATACAGGCTGTGCTTAGCATGAGGCAATTGTTCATCTTTGGGTTGAAACAAAGTTGTAAGATAACTATGCAAATGTACTTTATTAAAGGGACACATAAAAGGACCCAGCTTGTCTGTTGTGGTTTTTTGTTCACCTGGGGACATCTTTTCCAATTTGAATAGCTGACTACGTGTGTTACGCTGCCTGGGTATGGGATGCACTGACTGAGTCTTGCTTTTCACCTCTTGCAAACTGAATCATAAATTGCTGCTGTTGTGGTGGAAAGCACGTACTGCACTCAGCATTTAGGGGAGCTTGGGCAAAATTCTGATGGTGTTTCCCAGAGCCTGATGAAAACTGACCTTTTCATGGGCTGCAGGAGGCACAAAGGCGTCTGATCACTGCAGGCATGGCAGAGAACACTGCTGTGGTGTGCCAGCAGGTGTGGGTGCTGTTCAACACCATCCATCTGTGCTCAGCCTGGAATGAAGGGGCTGCTTAATGCTGCTCCATGGCACTTGTGACAAGATGTACTTTTTCTGTGGTAGCCTAGGAGAAGAAGATAATATGGATACACACAAAAAGGACAAATCAACCAACAAAGCACATTCTACTCAGCATACCCCAAACCTGAACGAATCTACAGTCCTAAACAAACCAAACTTCTTACATGTGCAGTTTATGCATAGACCACCTCTGCCCCTAGGTGGTCTTCATTGTTAGGCTTAGATTTAGCTTGATCCTTCAGGGAAAGTGCTGGGGCACTCTGTGAGGCTTGAGGTGTCTTTCCAGAGTTGTCACTTTCTAAATGGATGTTTATGTTGTTGGTTGTGTGGGGAAGTTCATGGGAACTGGGCAAAGCATGTAGTGCCTGAGCAGATTTCCTTCAAAAAGTGTCCTCATTCCCCTAGAATTTATCTCAAGTCCTAAATATGTCAGTAGTGCACTGCTCTGTGGTTAGGGCCCGTGTCTCAAAGGTGTGAGGCTCACAGCAGCTCTGTAGATGTTGTGCTCAGGAGGGAGCAAGGCAGACCTGCCCCGGGTTCCTCAGACAGCCTGGTGTTGCTTTGCTGTTGCAAGCCAGAAGCCAAAGCAACAGCTTTCTGCTGCCAGGAAAGGGCTCCTGGCTGTTAAAGTAGCAGGAAAGTCCCGGTTCATTTTTTGCCAGGGTGTGAGCTGGAGGTGAGCTGAGTGCCAGAGCACTCAGGTGCAGGGAGGGGGGCAGCAGGAATGTGGGAGGAGAATGGGCAGAGATGCTGGCTCACCATTCTGTGCCAGGGAGCCAACAGGTTACTATGGCTGCTGTAGAAAATACAGGCAAGTATGTTAGGTAGGCTGATCTGTTCTCCCTTTGCTTTTCTTCCCTTCAGATACCAGTGCCTATGCAGGCCTTCTATAATCAGATAAATGGATTCCATACTATGTTTTTATGCCAGTATCATCAGAGCCATCCCAACTCAAAGCTTTTTGAGCAGTGATGATTTAAATGTGAACTGGTACTCATCCACTGATCCCAAAAGCTGTGACAGTCCAAGTGCAGGATTACTGCACAGCTGAGTCAGCTTTTGTTTTGTATCTGGCAATAAGCTTTATAAATCATACCTGTCCTTGGTGGGTATGAAAGGATGTTTGCCTCCCAGAGTTTGTTTCATCTTGACATATATGAAACAAGACAGACACAAATGCAAGAGTACATGTGTTTCTAACAATGCAAGCAGGCAGCAACAGGAGCCTCAGTACTTTGCCATCCCTGTTGTAGGGGCTGCACATTGCTACAGAAAAAAGAAGCACTTTGTCAAAGCTGAGATCTGAGGTCTAAGTGTGGGCAAACAAAGTACAGGGACTATACAGGCTCTGACTGTCCTAGAATGCAGTGTGTCAGGAACCAGCTGGGTTTAAATCCAGCTATGTACATGAGTGGCACTAGAAAAGAAGCAGCACACATTGACCAAAGTCAGTCTTGATGGATTATGCAATACCAGACTTCATAGGAATCACACCAGGCTAAAATTTCACTCCTTTTTTTCTTCTAATTTTATTCTCATTATAACTTTGGAAGCAATTAAGGCTCAAAGCAGCATTCTCTGCAGCTGGAAGAGCTGCAATCCCAGAGCTCTTTGTATGAAGTCGTATTTATTTAGTTCTTGTTAGAAAGCTTAAAGTTCAAGATCCTTCTGGATGCACGTAGCAGAACTGAAAAGCCCTCATTTTACATCTGGCTCTTGCCTTTTCTGGTGTAGATTTTATCAAAATTGGATGCAGCTGCATCAAGTGATCAATGTATACTCTTAAATAAACTGTAATTGTTTCTTTTTTTTTTTTCCTTGCTCCCTTGCAGTGCTCTGCTAGCACGTGATGGCCAACAGGTGGATCAGAGTTGCACTTTATGTACTCTCCTTTACCCATCTAAACATATTTACCGCTTTGTTTTTGCCACTTTTCGTTTGGTTACTAAACCTCAAACACTGCAGGTCGTGTTTACTAACACAGATAATGAGGAGAAACAGTGTGAAACTGTAGAGTCTGCATGTTCCTGTAGAGAACTGGATTTGTGTCATTGAATGTTCTCTGTGTCCTCGTGCATGGTTTGGATTATTTGTACTCAGTGCATCAGAATAATTCAATGTACCTCTGGCTCATTTGGTTTCTAAACTAGAAAACAAAACTATGCATCGCAACTTTGCAAATATATCCTGGTGGTTTGTATAATAAATTAATAGCAGAGGCAGATTACTTGAGATACAGGGTCAAGATTAAAGGTGCCATGCTATAAATCAGCACCAGACACATTCTAGATGACTTCATCTCACAGCAGACATTGTGTAAGGTAAGAGGAAAACATGGCTTCGAAATCAGTGTTGCAGAAAAGAAGAGACATAGGAAGTTACAGGAAGTCAGGAATCCTTATTCTGCATCACAGCATGGGAAGAAGGAATGAAAAGGTGGCAGACTCAAAACTGCTATAAAGAAAGCAGGGTGCAAACCACAATCAGTTGAAACCCAGTGCTGCTGTGGACAGGGGCTTTAAAAGGAAGTGCTTATGTATAGTGCGACCCTCGGACTGGCATATGTTGATGTAACTTTGTGAATTCATCACATCTGAAGGCTTGAGTGGTATCTGAACTACTGGCTTGCTTCTTGTAGGGTGTGCTGATCTCCAAAGCCTCGATACCATGCAGCCAATGGAAAGGAAGAGGCAGGGCTACATCCACGAACTCATTCAGACGGAAGAAAGGTATATGGATGATCTTCAGCTTGTCCTGGAGGTGAGATGCTTTCATGTGGAAGTCTTTGGAAAAACACCACCTTTGTCCTTAATAATAGCAATGAAGAGATGCTTAAGAATCGTGAAATGCTAGAGGAAGACAGGAGGTTGTGTGAGTACCTCCCTTTCCTCTTGAATCATAGAATGGCCTGGGTTGAAAAGGACCACAATGATCATCTAGTTTCAACCCCACTGCTGTGTGCAGGGTCACCAACCAGCAGACCAGGCTGCCCAGAGCCACATCCAGCCTGGCTTTGAATGCTTCCAGGGATGGGGCATCCACAACCTCCTTGGGCAACCTGTTCCAGTGCCTCACCACGCTCTGTGTGAAATGTTACGTTATATGGTTGTTCAGCAACCTAAAAAATTATGTGAAAAACAAAGCAAAATCAGTGCTGACCTAACTAAGGGGAGAGCAAGTACTTTTTTCTCCAAAGAGAAAACCTTTGCTCACCTTTCTGATTTTTTTGATTGCAGGTTTTTCAAAAGCCAATGGCTGATTCGGGTTGTCTCACAGAAGGGGAAATGGGGCTGATCTTTGTTAACTGGAAGGAACTCATCATGTCAAATACCAAGTTACTGAAGTGAGTACTTGAGCTTTCGTCTCGCGTTTTTGTGTATGTGCTGTGTATGCAATGTGTGCAGTCAGGACAGCTGAATGCAAGGCTGGAAGGTAATTTATTTTCTCTTTAGAGCCTTGCGAGTGCGTAAGAAAACGGGAGGAGAAAAAATGCCGGTACAGATGATTGGGGACATCTTGGCAGCAGAGCTGTCACACATGCAGGCCTACATTCGGTTCTGCAGCTGCCAGCTTAACGGGGCTTCATTGCTGCAACAGAAAACTGATGAAGAAGCTGATTTCAAGGACTACTTAAAGGTATCTCGTTCTTGGTACCTTCACCTTTCCCCACTGACAGGAGCCTTTCTGACCAGCATCGACCAGATCAGAATAACCCAGAGGAGTAAATCTTGCAAAAATAAGACAAGGGTATTCCAAGGAGTGGAGGTTTATATGCTTCTTCAGCAAGTACTTTACACTGTTTCCCATTCTGTTCCTCATTACTTTGGTGTAATGGTTAACCTCAGGAAGCTACAGAGCCAGTGTCTGCACCTTCCCTAAATCCACGTGGTCAAAAGGGGGTGGAGTCTGTGGAGTTAAAATAAGAAAGCTGTGCTGAATGTGCTGTGCAATGTGCAAACCGGTGGGGCATGAGGTTGCAGTAGGGGCTGGGCCTTCAGTTGTGCATTGTGAGCATCACAGGCAGTTGCAGAAAGAAATAGGAGATCGTTGCTGTATTGCAGCTGATGCTGTGCCTTTGAAGCCATGAAAGGAGAAATGCCAGAACTGTTGACATCAGGCATTTGCTTCTTTCATTGTTTTGTTTTTGTTTTTTTTTTTTTCAATCTGAGTGGAGCATATTATGTCAGAATAAAAGCTAGAATGGTTTTGTATGTTCAGACTCTGCATGGGCAATGATGCTACAGCGCTGTGCTGGCAAAGCATCTGGGCACAATGACAGCGCTGACTTTCCTGTTTGTTCTAGATACAAGTGGACTGTATTGTTTGCTAGCCTAAAAGTCTGAGATTTCTTGGAAAGCCTGAAAAAATTAAATCTGATCAGACCCTTTTCAGTGCAGCGAAGCAGCTGTTTCTTGATGAGTAATACGATGTCTCTGGATTGCACTGTAGAAACTCGCTTTGGATCCTCGCTGCAAAGGAATGCCCCTCTCCAGTTTCCTTCTGAAACCCATGCAAAGAATAACGCGCTATCCTCTGCTTATAAAGAGTGTGAGTACCCTGAGTGAAGTCTTGTACGAGAATACTTTTGATTTTATTCTCTATAGCAAAAGAAAGAAAACCTTATCTCTTTATGCGGATTTCTGGAGGAGTGTGGAGAACTATTTCCCGTGCTTACCTCCATTTTTGTCTTGGTTTCTCCTCATTTTGTTTTGCATCAGATTCTAGAGAATACTCCAGAAAATCACCCAGATCACAGTAACCTCAAGCTTGCCTTGGAGCGTGCAGAAGAGCTGTGTTCTCAGGTTAATGAAGGGGTGCGTGAGAAAGAGAACTCGGACCGCCTGGAATGGATACAGTCCCACGTGCAGTGTGAAGGCCTTGCTGAGGTAGCTGCACTGCAGTGCTCTCTGGTAGAGGCTGTGTCAGTTTGTTTTGGGAAGGCCAGAGCAGGGTAGTCCCTTTCTCTGGAGATACTTAAGACCTGCCTGGATTCTTGTGAATCCTTCTGCAGGGAAGCTGCTTTAGCAGGGGGTCGGACTAGAG